TCTCCTCATCTGCCTGCTCCTCCTTGGCCAAGGTTACCCCGTGTGGTGGAAATACACGAGCTTCTCCTTCTATGCTGTTCTCTGGGTGACATCCGACTAGGCGGGGCACCTGCACTTGCTTGCTCGGTGACAGCCTGCTTTCAGTTTATTGTCTCAACTGCAAATCAAGTGCTTCTTCTGTATTCTTCCCTCTACCACATATAATTAGTTTTCCCATTATTTCAACCTCACAGTTTCTCTTGTGTCTGTATTGATTTCTCCTTTCCCTCTGGCATGAAAGACAGTTTATTGCGAAAAGAGAATAAGAGCTGAAATGAGGCAGACACTGGTCCAATCTCTCTCTCTGATTTTATGACTATTGAGACTCCAGGCAAAGAACCACGCGATCACTCAACCCCAGTTTCCTATTGCAAAATGGTGATACTTCTGTTCTCCCCAAATTATTTTGAGTGAATAAAAGTGAGTGGGTATGAATTGCCTAGAACTTCTAGAGCAGTGCATATTGATTGTACACTGGATACTCAAATATTAATTTATTCTTCTCTTTTTTGCCACCGTGTGCTTTCACATGGATTATTGTAATAGTCTCCTAGAAGTTTTTACCCTTCTTTTATTGATTATGCATCCATAGTGCTTCCAAAGATATCATTTGCAGATATTGCTTTATGATGTGCTTTTACTTAAATGATTCCAATTGCTTCTGATAGCTCACAGAATAAAATCCAATCGTATTAGCCTGATGACCAGGGTTTTTCTTGACCCAGACTCAGGATTATCCAGCTTCAGCATCCTTTGTTCTCCTCCATATAGGCTGCGTTACAGTTGTGTCATAGTCTTACCAATACAGTTTTCTCTGTTCTTAAGTGCTGTCGTTTGCTGCCTGTTCCAGCTACCTCCCACCCCCACCTCCTACCCTTCCCTTAGAAAGTCCTAGTTGTCATGTCAGACTCTGCTCAAGCTGTTTTCAACAATGGAGTTTTGGGAATGTGGTTTTGGTCCTTAAACACAAATACCCACCATTCTCCTAATTGAAGTTCTCTATTGGAAATCGAAGGAACTTTACAAACAAAGAATAATAAATACATGTGCAAATATAACTGCTTTACCCTTGGGGAACGCATCTCTGTTGTTTCATTGTCTGACATCTCTGGGGAGCTGTGACATATAGTCAGAAGTAGAATAAGCGGGCTTCTTACTTCATTTATGGAATCTGGAACACCTGAAGCGGCAGAATGGATGGATGGATGAGTGTGACCACATTTTCAGGCTTCTCTAAGACAAGGAGGAGGTGAAAGGGTGCACTAAGGAAGCATGATGGTACCAGTATTGCAGCTAAGGAGACTCCCCACTAGAAAGCAGGTGGCGTTTTACTAGCGAGGATAACAAGGTCTTCTTTGGAATGTTTCTGAGACCTGACTAGAGAGAGAAGCTTGGACTGAAATTTTCCTCCTTATCTGTGGGCAAAGAGGAAAATATGAAGACACAAATATTCTCCTACAAAGACACTGCATCATTACCTCTTTTGAAGGAAAAAGCATTTCTTTCTATGAGTGATTCGAAGGCACTTGTTACAGTGCTCCTAGCTCTCTCTACTTTTCAGTTTGCTCCCAGCTTTGCTCTTGTCCCTGCCTGCTATAACTTTTTGCAGTTCTACATACCTACCAAGTTGAGAGCTCGTGAAATAATTATTATTTTAATAAGGATTGGTGTTTTCCTATTTTTCTGGTTTTTTTGATTCCAGTTCTATGGAATGAAGTACTCAAGAAATATCTGTTGCATTCATAAATTGATTGTGAAGTTCTAGGCATGACCACCTAAAATTGCTTTACCTTTCTATCATTTTTCCTTTCTTCTTGGCGAGAGTAAAACAAACATTGAGACTTACCATTTCTAGCCTACTTAGGGACTGAGTTGAAACAGTTCACATGTTCTTATCATGTATGTAACAGGACTTTGGAATATTCACTCTGACATTGCCTGAATATGAAACTACACTTACCAAGAAGGTCTAATGCCTTGGAAATTAGATAATTCATATTCCATAATAAAAATGTCTTGCAGTCCAACTTTATTATAGTCAATTTAGCAAAGGTTAAAAGATTAAAATTTTTGCATGCAGAAATAGTACATTTTCCAGGAGGAGATTCTTAGTAATTTGGAGGGGGATATGTTTTATCACAACTGTTAAATCTGGGGAGATGTTGGCAGTTCTTTTATGTGAATTACAGTTGAAAGGTATGTGTTGAGACTTACTTTGAAGGAATCCATTTTTCTGAATGAAGGGAGATGGCAAAATGGATTGATTTTTTTCTAAGAGGGCAGCTATTCAGTTTTTCAAAGCAAGCATGCTAAAGAAGAAGCAGGACCCACCAGAAACCCTTGTAGTTCAGGAAATATTTATGAACAGCTGAGAAGAGTGGGAAGGAAGTTAGATGAGAATTACCTTGTGCCACTCATTGAATTTTGTCCCCCAAATTTCTCATTTTGAAGCTTTGACCTCCATTATGAGGTCCATTTTGACCTTCATTATTATCTGTTCTTGGAGATATGGTTTTTAAAAGGGAAAAAAGGGTTAAATGAGAGAGAGGTCCTGTTCTGATGAAACTGGTGGCCTTAGAAGAAGAGGGTAGTCCTCTGTGTGTCCGTCTCTCCCTTTCCCTTTCCCCCTCTTCCTCTGTCCCTTCCTTTCTCTCTTCCTTCCCCTCTCTCTCCCTTCATGCACTTTTCAAGAAAAGCTCATGTTGACACAAGGTGAGAAGGTGAACACTACAAGCCAGAAAGTGAGACCTTCTAGGACCCTGAACTGTCTGAAAAATTCTAATCTCCAGAACTGTGAGATGATAAATTACTTTTGCTGAAGCCATCCAGTCCATGATATTTTGTTATGGCGGCCTGAGCTGACTAAAGTAGTCTGGATGAATGATTGAGCATACATCTGGGAAGATATTTGATGAGTAGGTTAGAGTGAAAAGTAGTTTTGTCTAGAAGACAATAAGATTGTTGTGTTCGATGTCAAGAACAGGAGAGTCTGACTTTAGAGTAAGAGCTGATTTCTTATATCCATTTCTTAATCATACACATTCTTCCTTTCCATTCTTTACCTGTGTAAATCCTGAGGCTCACTCTAGTAATTTCTACTTCCTCTCCCGTGATCTGTGTGGCTGATTTAGTCACCCCTCCTGAGAGCTGTCATAATGTGCTGCTCAAACTTGAAATGATGATTGCTCGTGTGCACATCTCTATGATGCACATTCCCAGCCACAATAACTGGGAGAGCTCATTCTGTATAAGGATTTTGTTCTTTAGTTCTGATACTTATCATTTGTGTTTTATTAGATCATAGTTTTCATCTTTGATTATTGTTCACTGAACACAAGTGAAAGTTCTCAAATTCTTTGTGTATTAAGGCTGGAGAGTATAGAGTAAAATAGTTAATCTTACTAAATAATCTAATAATGCTTCAAAAACACTCATAAAAATGACAAACATTTTCAAAAACTGTATACACTGGAGGTTGCTTTCAGTGTTTTAGTTAAGCTTCATTAAAATGCTATAAGTTAAGGACTATTGTTTGCCTATTTTATACATCAGAAAATTAAACATGAAGAGTTAAGTAACTCCCAATCTAGTGGCTCATCCAGTGGATAAATCTGGGTAATTTAACTCCAAATGTTCTCTCTTAGCACTACTGCTACACTGGCTTCCTATTGTTATGGTGACAAAGTATCACAATCTCAGTCAGTTAAAACAACACAGATTTACTGTCTTATACATTTTAGGTAAGAAGTCCAAAATAGGGTTTAGTGGCTACAGTCAGTGCTGACAGGGCTGCGTTTCTTTCTGTGGCTCTAAAAGTGAGTTTGTTCCTCTGGCTTTTCTACCTTCTAGTAGCTGCCCACATTCCTTGGTTCATGGCACTCTTCTGACTTCAACCCAAGCAGTGGTATTATCTTTCTCAGGATACTATTCCTCTCATTACTTCTCTTTTCCATGTTTAAGGGCTTTTATAAATTACTTTGAGTTCCACTAGATAATCTCATTTGAAGTTCATCCTTCACTATATAATCTAATATATTTCTAAGTTCCTGGAATTAGAATCTAAGTACCATGAGTGAATGGGCACATTCTACTTATCATAACTACTCTGAGATCTGTTAAGCTTAAAAACACTTTGTGAACACTTATGCTGCACCAGATACTATGCTGGGTGCTGGGGTATGGGTACAAACAAGAATCAGACAATTCATTTTTACCACATAATTTTCATCTAGTGTTTTAGGCAATAATACTGAGTCACTATCAGAGATGACGTTGCTTTTCTGAGTGAGTGAGTCAACTCCCTAAAGAAACTTACCTCCCATTACATTCAAACATACTTAATTTCTTGGTTATGTCCAAAATCAATTTTTGAGTGCTGAACTTCATGGGAATCAAGCAGATCCTCACTGTTTCCTGTATTATGTAAACTAGTGAATTAAACAAAGATTGAAGAAAAATCAATGATTTCAGTGCACTGTTATGTATTTTAGCATTTCCTTTCATGTTATATTGTTTATAGTTCTTAGGACCAGTAAAGAGGTAAAGCAAACACTATGTTATTTGAAGATCATAAGAAGACCATGGAAAATTGTATCTCATGGAAAATATAATTCTACTACAAGGCTGTACACATTCATGCATCAAAAGAAAGACATTTAGAGCACTGTATGAATCATTCAGGTCCCCAAAGACACTTCTCACTTAGTTGATCACAGCTGTGAGAAGGAGTTAGTTTAAATTATAGGCAATCTATTTCTATTGCTTTTATGATTGCAAAGCAAACATTTATTTTGCTTTGTAGATGTTTTGTGCAGTTCTTTTGTCTTTCCATCAGATTATATGCCCTTTATGCATCTAAAACTGGTATTTTTACATATTCTAACAGGAAGTACATGACGACTATTGAATGTTAATTGCTATTAGAACTCCCCTCTCAAATCTACTTTTCCCAATTTTGTCAGTGCGGAGGGTAAATGGTGAAAACACAGTTCCCCTGGAAAGAAATGCAGAAGAAAGATGGATAGAAGATGAATAGTCCCACAAAGGAGATGTCTTTTCTCCTGGGCTGTGTAGAGACACACAGCAGTACTTCAGAATAAAAGTCAACAGTGGTCAAACCAAGAGCCAGAGCCGAAGGCTGATGATGAACTCGGAAATTCAGCAAGTGCAAGAGATGTACGTCGAGAATTAGTAGGTCTAGAAGTTAAAGTGGAGGGTGGTGCTCACTGAACACATACAACATATGCAATTGTTGAATTTAGTTACTCACTACCATTACATACAGGAGCAATGATACATTTTTTTGTCCAGAAGCATAACAATAAGAGTTAATCATAAAATAATCCATATCGTTAGAAACTATGTACTAAAATTTGAGTAAATAAAGCTACCTGGCTGGATGCCCTGAGAATATTCCTGTCACCCATTTGCACTATTTGTGGGAGGACTAGCAAGGATAAGCAGGACTGAATTCATTCTGATATCCATTCTCTCGCCAGGAGCATCCCAGTCTTTCTGCAGGGCAGAATCCCATATTTCTTTAAATATTCAGATACTTTGTACCCTGTTAACTTCCTGTAACAGTTTGCTTAGGGGTCATACTGAGAAGTGGAAATAGCTAAAGTTTTGTGCTTCTTGCTTGGATTTGCAGGCTCTCTAGATAGGACGAAGCCTCCTTTCATTCCTTGAGCTGGGATAGGACAACTCCCAGTGCTCAGCAGGTAAGGGCAAGCTCGCTGAACGCTACAAGATTAATATATGACTGTTGGATAAGGAATTTCAGTCACTTTCTCCAGCGAACTGATTCTATAGCACTTGGTACACTGTCTGTTACTAGAAATGCTTCTGCTTGGTTTAGGATGTGCAGATGGGAGAAGGAATGAAAACAGTACTGAGACTTATGGCGTGCTTTTCTATGAGCTACTTCTTTTCTTTTCCTTTTTATTCCTTTATCCTTTTTTTTAAAGAAAAAGATATGCTCAACTAGGTTATGATGGAGGCCCTCTCTGCACTGGCTCTCCCTGAGTGTACGAACTCGCAGTTGTTTCCAGTCTGTTCTTTACTTGTGGGAGTGTGGTTGTCCTCCAAGGGTACTGAACAGCCTCCTAAGCAACTAGGTGCGGTCACATGAGTAAGTTTTAATTCAGGAAAAGTGAATATAAACAATATACACAAATTTTACATCATTCTTTAAAACAAGTTTTCAGGCCCTGGATATTGTTTCTCCCATTTGCACTGGACGATCCCGACGGATTCATCTTGATCTCCATGTGGAAATCACCACTGACTGAGCAACTCAGAAGCTGCTTTCTGGGGATGGTGGAATGTGGCCCCAAGCATGGTCCCTGTGCATCATTGAGGGACAGAGTGTCCCACCCCCTCGGACTCTTGTAACACAGACAAATGGATGTCCATTTATTTGAATTAGCATATGGTGAGATTTTACTGTAGCAGCTCAGACTTTATCCTAATAATACATTCACTGAGAATTAAGTAGAAATCACTCTTCCTAACTCCAAAGCTCTTGCCTTTATTACAATTAGACATCTTGAAAGAAATGGAAAAAAATCTTAAGGAACCAGTTGCTGAGGATGAGAATCAGGAGAATCTGACCTCTTCCTGAATGTGTAAGGATCAAGGCATCTAGAAATGTCAAGAGGAGCTGTAAAAAGCATCTGTAGTAAAACTCTATGTATGTTTTGCGAAAATATAGGAAGCATAAAGGTAAGTTAGGTTCTCTGTTATGAGCTACATTTTCATTTCAGAGAAGGATGAGAACAACTCTGTCAGGATGTAGTCTGGTAACATGTTTCAAAACAGTAGAAAAGTAGAAAATTCTAAATGAGTTTTTTGAAATGTGTTTTGGTATTTCAACTGCAATTTAGAGAATCTAATATTTTGTAAGTGTCATTGTCTTTGAAGATAAGGTTTTTTTTTAACAGGGTATGGATTATCATAAGAATGCAAAATAACACATTTGAGTGTACTGCTTCATGGGCTCTTATTTTATTTATTGACACAGAGTGTGAAAATGGTTAAATAGCCTAAGAGATTTTAAGGGATGAAAAATCAAAATGATTTTAAATGATCTCAGTTGATTTCGCTTCCTGCTGTTATGTGCCATTGATGTATGCCTTTTTTTCCTGGCTAGATTGTATTTCTTGAGGTCAGGGTATTAGGTATCACATCCAAAATATTTCTATCAGTTCAATCTCTTTCTTCCATAAAAATGCTATAAACAACAAATTTCTCATAATCATTGGACAATTATGTTAAGTAAAGTTCTAGAAATATCTAATGCACTAAGTATTAACCACAGATATCCAGGGGGAGAATTGGTTTACTAGAGTGGTTTAATCTAAAAACACCAAAGGAAAGTTCTTAGTGTACAGCTCTGCTTCCTGAAATAAGTTCTGATAGAGTTTGTTATGCAATTGCATGTTCAAAATGACAGCTTCGTTCTATTTTTTAAAATGTAGATTTATTTCTGTGTGTAGGTGCTATAAAGTATTCTGGGAGCTATTTTACTAAAAATAAGGCATCTGTGTCAATAATGAATACTCATTGCACAATCTAATATCATTTGCACCTGCAAGGGTTCAAGGAGGTAACTTTAGGTGAAATGAAAACCCGTTTTATATAATTGAAGGAGATATCTTCTAAAGTCTTATTTATTAAACAAGCTAGGTTCTTCTTAATAAGTCACATGTTAGGCATCGTGATAAAAGGTACAAATACTAAGTACAATACATAGGATTAATAGTGGTAATAGCTCCCTCAATCTACAAGTTCTCTATAGAACTTTCCTGGCTGTGGATGACCACCTGTAATATTTTAGTATTTTTGCAATAATATAGGTCATCCTTACCGTGTCTCTTCTAGTCCCTATTTTCCCTGACTATGGACAAATGACTACTTTATGCCATAACCTGTCAACCCTACTAGCTGTGGGTTAGATTAGCTTTGCTTTTCCCAGTTTTTTTAGACTTCTAATTCTCCTAAATGAAATTACTGCACTTTGACTTTAGGTCATGATGTTTATCTGCAGAAACCTAACAAAGATCACCTCAGAAAACCTAATTTTTGGTTATTCTGTAAGTGAAGTAAGAGTGAAGCAAATTCATAGGATGATATTGAAGAAAACTGTGTTTCCAGTCCAAAAGGCCAAGATGAAGAAACGACACTCTCTCCTCTTCTTTAATATGCTTGTAAAAAAAAATGTGAAGACTTCAAAGAAGAAAAAAATCAGAGATTGGAAAAATTATAGATGAATTTTATAATGTTCTTTAATTATTAAACATATTTTTATACACTGCTTTCCATATTAAAAGTCTTGAAGATTTTCATGTGTGAATGTATCCTACTCTTTTTCTATTTTTATTTTTATTTATTTATTTATTTTTTCTGGTACTGGGAATCAAACTCACTACCTTGCACTTGCCAGGCAGGCACTGTGCCACTGAACTAAATCCCCAGCCCCTATATCCTAGTCTTTCAGTAGGATGTTTAAAACATTTTCACACAGCCTTAGTTGTCAGGCACAAGGGTATGAAAAAAAACATTTTAAAATTTCAGGTGACTTAGAGTGGCTCTGTCGTGCACTAAATTCCTTTGGCTATCAAGTAGGAAAGAGTTCCGTACACAGGCTAGAGAGTAGGAGAGCCTTTAGTCTAACATCTGTGCTTTCAATGAGTCTTCAAAAGAAAAAGAAAGCAGCTCTTGCAGGAAGCGGGTCATAGATGCTGTAGCAACATGCATGTGTGGCTTTAAAGCGAGTATTTAAAAAATTATTTTGTGGAAAAAATAAAACAAAATTTCATAACAAAATAATAGGAGAATAACAATAGTTAATGCACTGTGTATTGTTATCTTCAAAGTAGTTACTCAGAGTACAAGATGTGGGTATAAAAATTTCTCCAAATGTTATTAGCACAAATCTTTCTTTTTAATGAAATAAGAGAAATTAGTAGTATAGCTATCTTGAATATTTTCCTTTTTCCTTTCTTCCTTTCTTCTTTCCCCCACCCCAGTTCCACTTTTCTTTTGAATGATTTCTTCCCAGTTTACAATGTGCATTGTACATTTTGTTATTAATTTATTCTTTCAGGTTCTCACACTAGGAAGACAATACAATGATGTTTACACATATGAGTATGATTTATTTCACTTATGATTACGGTCTCAAATTGTATCCATTAACCTATAAGTGTCTCAAGTCTATCCATCTTTATGGCTAAGCAGTACTCCATTGTATAAAAGAACAAATCTTATCTAGAACATATAAGGAACTAAAAAAGGTCAGACTCCAGAAATTCAAAGACCCAATCCAAAAATGGGCATCTGAGATGGATATGCACATCTCAGATGAAGAAATTCAAATGACAAATACATGAAAAAATGTTCCACATCATTGGTTATTCTAGAGATGCAAATTAAAACAGCATTCCAGAAAGAATGGCTATCATCAAGAAATCAACCAGTAACAAATGTAGGAGAGGCTGTGGGGAAAAAGTAACCCTTCTCCACTGCTGGTAGCAGTGCAGACTGGTATAATCACTGTGGAAATCAGTATGGAGATTCCTCAAAAAACTAAGATTAGAGGTTCCATTCAACCTAGCTATTTCCCTCCTGGGTATCTTTCTGGAAGAATTAAAAATGTCATACAGTGGTGATATGTGTGCACCCATGTTTATGAAAGCACAGTTTGTAACAGCTAAATCTTGGAAACAACTCAAATGCCTCCCAACCGAGAAATGGATAACAAAGTGGGCGTTGGAAAGGAGTCATTATTGCCTCTGGAGGGAATCTCATTCTCATGCCTTTACCTACTATGATAGTATGGGATGATCATTCATGACAGTACGTGTTACAAAACCTGTAAAAATAGATATTGACTGATGGGACAGTTTTACAAAGATGGTGGTATGACCCAGGATTCTTGGAAGTGCCGTGATCATGTCTGTGAAGTGGCTGATGGGAGATGGGTGTGTCCTGGTTAAGACATCTTACCTTGACAAGGTTGGATGCTTGGCAGCTACTGTGCCCGAGCAGGATTCTCTTCCCTAATAGAGATGCATGCGTTAGCTTGTCTGGGGCCACTGTGTTTTCCCAAAGTCTCCATGGCTTAGCTGGGTGAAGGCTCTGCCCACTATGTGGGAAAGATCACAGCTTGGTGGAAGCTGTCTGGACGTTGGCCTTAATGCCAGCTTCCCACTTCATGGCTTCAAGAAGTGGCACTGTAGATAACAGTGACACTGATTGCATGAATAAGAGATATTCTATACTGAGCACCATGCTAGCTCAGATAAATTTCCTTCTGCCTTTGTAGAGGAGGAGAAGAAACCTTATATGAGTTGTGCTTTAGCGTAGAGAGAAATAAGCGCAAAAAGTATTCAGAGTTTTTGCTCTTGATTTTCCCTTCTCTTTTAGTCATGATCTTGTTATAGCCCCAGGAAAATCTCCATTCTCATGGGGCTTTCTTTGTGAGTTAGTCTATTGGAGTTCTCATAGGAAATTACTAAAATTTTGGTTTAAAACAAAGGACGTATATTCTTTCACAGTTATGGAGGCTGGATGTGCCTATCATGGTGTTGGTTAGCTTGGTTCCTTCTGGAATCTCAGAGACAGAATCTGTTCTTTTCCTGTCTCTTAGCTTCTGTTGGTGGCAGGGAATCATTTGCACATCTTCATTTGCTTCTGGGTCACTCTAACTCTGGCATCCACTGTCACTGAACTTTCTCCCTCTGTATTTCTGTGTCTTTGTGTGTACACAGGGGCATAAGTCACTGAACTAAGGCACACTCTAAATAGGTGTGATTCATTTTAACTTGATTACTTAAGACCATATACCCAAATTAGGTCAAATTCATAGATACAGGGATGGGAGGTTAGAACTACATTTTTTGAAAGATACAATTTAACAGCAATACTTTTATTTCCTAGTGCTCTTTAAATGACTCCCTAGTAATTTTTCCCCCAGAAACTCAGCCACAGAAAATAAATGCCCGTAGGAAGCCCCTGCCATCAGCCTCATAATACGAACGTAGCTTTAAGCAAGAGTGTGTGGAAGGAGCCTCGCTTCTTAGAATGCAAAGCGGAGCACAGCACAGGTCAACATCACCAAGCTTTCTCCTGCCACTGTGAAGCGATGATATTTCCATTGATTGCTTAGTGCTGCCTTCAGAGAGGCTCAATAAATGGTGCCTCCCTCTCCAACCACGCAGCAGAGATAATGTGAGAGCTCACGTCAGATGTGTTTTCCTCTGCTTGTTGACAGACCCACAGTATTTGTGAGCATGTCATCTTTCCTTAGCAAATGGGTGTTGCACTAACTCATCTACAAATATATTCACTCATGATAAATGATGGGCAGAGTAGAATTTCTTGGAATCAAGGGTCCTGATCAACTCAGCACAGACAGGATAAGCAGTATGGATGGATAAAAAATAGGCACGTTAGACTATTATATAAAAAAAGAATAGAGAAATGCCACTTCTAATTGCTACTAATGCAGTAAAACAGTCACAGATTAAGGAATCCAAGCAGAGAAGACTCTTTTGCGTCCAGATGGTGAGAGGTAAGGAGATGATGTGTATTGAAACACCATCTGTATTTCTGAGAACACTGACACCATACTCCAATATCCAAGGGGAACCTGTGTGGATTTCTGCTTGCTCTAATTGCTGCAGTACCTGAAATGTATTCACAGCCTTTCCATCTGCACCACATTTCCTACGCCTGCCATGCATCATTTGATGATCTGCAGTGCTATGCTCTTTCTATGACCCCATCTTTCCCACTGCATCATTTAGCTCCAATATGTTCCGCCACGAACGCTTTCCAAATCATTCACTTAGCGACCCGGGGCAGAGCTACCTACCTCCCACCAGGGAGTGAGTCATCATATCATGAAGGCCACAGAGAGAAAGAGACATTTGTCAACAGCTTCTGTGTGTTGTAGAAGATGAGTTCAAATGTAGGACACCACATGGATTTACTGGTGCATGATAGATGAATGAATTTTTGACAAGAAATGTCAAATGTCTTCAGAATCTTAAACAATAAGGAAAAGGAAAGGTAAATGTTTGTTGTCAAACAGCCTCTGTGGGATCACCATTTAATAATCAAAGCTGCTCCTTCTGCCAGTATTACTGCCTGAAAAATACACAAGGGAGAGGACTCTTGAGTCACTGAGGCATATTCTGGGCTTGCTCTTTCATCCAAAAGCATTTCTGGGATTAGGACTGGCTTAGAGATAATTTTCAAGGGAGGTAATTTATTTCCAGTTTTCTTACCTTTCTAGGCTCCACACATTAAAATTCATCTTCTCTTCACTCTCTGACCTCTGAATCTTTAATCAAATGAATCCTCTTTCAAATTATTGTAGAAAAATTGACAAATGCAGATACGCAAATGAAAGTAAATCATCTATGATGTTATTGCTAGCATAGCAACTAGATACCACTACAAAGATATTAGAATGGTTTAAGTTCCAAACATGAGCGTATCAGATGCTGGGAAAGATATAGAGCAATAGGACTTCCTTTTCATTTCTGATAAGAATGTAGAATAGTACAGCTCCTATGGAAATCTCTTACAAGGCTAAACATGATATCATCATGTGATACAGTAAACATTCTCTTAGATTTCTATCCAAAGGACTTGACACTGTAGACTGACATAACAACTTGCACAAAAATGTGTACAGTGGCTTTATTCACTGATTCCCAAACCCAAGGTGACAAAGATATTACTTAAAAAGGCGAATAGATGAACAAATGGTTATACTATCTAAACATTATCCAGGCAATGCAACATTGTACGTTGATGAAAAGAAATAAAGTATTAAGCCATGAAAATGCATAATGCAACCTCACATGCATGTTGCCAAGTGAAAGAAGCCACTCTGAGAAGGCTACTTACTGTGTGGCTCCAGCTCTGTGACATTCTGGGAAAGATAGGTGAAGTAAACTCAGCTGCGGATGAGACCCAGGTGATGACCTGCAGATGGAACCAGATAAACTAATAAAACTCAGTCAAGACCAGACCAGCTTCAGCTGACTCCTGGACACTTGTGTAAGAAAAAAAATTGTTAGTAGTGAATCATCTAGAAATTGTTTGTTATGCAGCATTAGCGCAACAAAAACAATCTAGTATAAAAATTATTTTCCATACTCTGGACAGTCACAAAGTCTACTTCAGTTATCACTTTTAGATTTATAGAAAAGTTGTCCATATAGTACAGAGAGTTCTCAAACAACCCCTACTGCACACATAGAT